CAAAAACAAGTTAGACGTCCTCTACTTTGTTGTTGCAAGTTTTACGTGGCTGCTATGGGATGAGCAAGAACCGTTCTTACCTACGCATCAAAACCACAACGATAGTTTGTCAAGTTGGTGCTATTTTAACCTTCGCAAGGACCGGGCGTAGCCACACTCGGTTCAACTAAAGTTGGAGAAACTGACACCCGCTAGTCACCTGTGTGCATAGCACGGTGGTAAAACCAGTCTCGCGTAAGCGTACGCGTAATGTCGGTCCGGGCCGCTTCATCCAACAATACCGCCGAACCAAAGTGTGACATGCTGGTAAGCAGTATGACTTATATCGCCCACAACTCACTTGTGTTCTACTCGTGCATATCATCAACGCATAAAACCTAGGCTCGGATGCCACTGTTGGGGAACGTATCAATTTCAAAATTTTCCTACGCACACGCAAGATCATGGTGATGCATAGCAACGAGAGGGGAGAGTGTTGTCCACGTACCCTCGTAGACCGAAAGCGGAAGCGTTAGCACAACGCGGTTGATGTAGTCGTACATCTTCACGATCTGACCGATCAAGTACCAAACGCACGGCACCTCCGAGTTTAGCACACGTTCAGCCCGATGACGTCCCTCGAACTCCGATCCAGCCGAGTGTTGAGGGAGAGTTTCATCAGCACGACGGCGTGGTGACAATGTTGATGTTCTACTGACGCAGGGCTTCGCCTAAGCACCGCTACAGTAATATCGAGGTGGACTATGGTGGAGGGGGCACCGCACACGGCTGGGAGAGATCAACTGATCAACTTGTTGTGTCTTTGGGGTGCCCCCTTGCCCCTGTATATAAAGGAGTGGAGGAGGGGGAGGGCCGACCCTCTCTATGGCGTGCCCTAGGGGAGTCCTACTCCCACCGGGAGTAGGATTTCCCCTTTCCTAGTAGAACTAGGAGCCCTTCCAAGTAGTAGGAGTAGGAGGGAAGGAAAGGGAAGGGAAAAGGAGAAGGAAGGAAAGGGGCGCCCCCCTCCCTAGTCCAATTCGGACCATCCCATGGGGAGGGGTGCGGCCACCCTTTGAGGCCTTTCTCTCCTTTCCCGTATGGCCCATAAAGGCCCAATACGAATTCCCGTAACTCCCCGGTACTCCCGAAAATACCCGAATCACTCGGAACCTTTCCGATGTCCGAATATAGTCGTCCAATATATCGATCTTTACGTCTCGATCATTTCGAGACTCCTCGTCATGTCCCCGATCTTATCCGGGACTCCGAACTCCTTCGGTACATCAAAACACATAAACTCATAATATAACCGTCATCGAACTTTAAGCATGCGGACCCTACAGGTTCGAGAACTATGTAGACATGACCGAGACACGTCTCCGGTCAATAACCAATAGCGGAACCTAGATGCTCATATTGGCTCCTACATATTCTACAAAAAGCTTTATCGGTCAAACCGCATAACAACATACGTTGTTCCCTTTGTCATCGGTATGTTACTTGCCCGAGATTCGATCGTCGGTATCTCAATACCTAGTTCAATCTCGTTACCGGCAAGTATCTTTACTCGTTCCGTAATACATCATACCGCAACTAACTCATTAGTTGCAATGCTTGCAAGGCTTATAGTGATGTGCATTACCGAGTGGGCCCAGAGTTACCTCTTCGACAATCGGAGTGGCAAATTCTAATCTCGAAATACGCCAACCCAACAAGTACCTTCGGAGACACCTGTAGAGCACCTTTATAATCACCCAGTTATGTTGTGATGTTTGGTAGCACACAAAGTGTTCCTCTGGTAAACGGGAGTTGCATAATTTCATAGTCATAGGAACATGTATAAGTCATGAAGAAAGCAATAGCAACAAACTAAACGATCAAGTGCTATGCTAACGGAATAGGTCAAGTCAATCACATCATTCTCCTAATGATGTGATCCCGTTAATCAAATGACAACTCATGTCTATGGCTAGGAAACTTAACCATCTTTGATCAACGAGCTAGTCAAGTAGAGGCATACCAGTGACACTCTGTTTGTCTATGTATTCACACATGTATTATGTTTCTGGTTAATACAATTCTAGCATGAATAATAAACATTTATCATGATATAAGGAAATAAATAATAACTTTATTATTGCCTCTAGGGCATATTTCCTTCAGAAGAAAACATGACGAACGTGTCCGCACTCCTCTGGCACCGACGAGATCGCCAGGCGGGGAAGAGGAGAGACAGAGGTGGTGGTGTTTAGGGAAGGCCTAGGTTCGGACCCTGTATTCGGGTTCGTTCTGTGTCCCGCACCTCCTACATCTACATTAACTAAATGTCACGGGGTTCTTCCCTAGCTGGACTTTTGTACAAAATCAATAATTAGCCCCCTCCTATGGCACTCCCTTCCTAGAGTGACATAGACAGGGACGACACTCAATCCAACAACTACCATTTTCCATCATTGCCAGACTCTGCCGGTCAAGCTCGAGCGGAGCCCGGTGGAGGCAGGGTATATTCTCTATACCGTTGATTGGAGTTGACGTGTCTCGACCGTATAGGGTGTAGTGGTGGAGCTTCAGGCGATGGTGGGTTCTTGCGCGCCGGTTTGGGGGCTTGATCTGGTCATGCCAATCAGCTCGCTCCCACAGTGATTTGGTGGCCAGTGGTGGCTCACCTAGCCCGCGATTGGTGTGACAGTGTGTTACTGGTTGCAGAGTGGCGAGGATGTGCGCATTGAAGGTGGTGGCGCAGAGGGTGCAGTGGAGTAGTAGGCCTGAGTAGTGCATGACTGGACCTCAGCTTGGCATTGGTGAGGTGGTCGGTAGTGACTAGCTCGGGCTGTTAGCACAACTTGTCTAAGATCCCACATGTGACGGTTGGGATGGGATTCCCTAGTTGTAGTTGTGGTGGCACTCTTCATTTCGATGGTGTGGCAGTTTTCTATTGCGATAGGAAGAAGGTTGTGCACCGTAGATCCGGAGTCCTCCACGGACCCATCGACGACGCATCCGGCATGCAGAAGCACATGTTGGGGGGGGGGGGTATCGAGGTGAAGTGGTTTCACCATATTCCTGTGCCACGTGTAGTGTATTTTTGGGCCATATTTTCCTATGTACATGAGGTGCCGGGGCCCCCATCTGGGCAGCAATTTCATAAATGAAGTTGTATTCAACAAGGCAAGCCAATCCTATCTGGAAAAAAAGAAAAAGGAGAGACACATCCAGAAAGAGCTGCCATATTTCCGCTCCTATGTAAGGAGTCCAAGAACCTACATGGAGGGAACAAGTCCTACACAAGACACCACCACGGGAGATCTACCGACGAACATATTAAAAAGGAGTCACCCATAAACTCACTGAAAACATCATGTAATCCCTCCTTATACCTTGTCTCGGTGTATCCCATATAAGCAAGAGTATGACTATTACCGGCATCTTAGGACCCGAACTTGAGTAAAAATGTGTCACATGTTTGTTCGATGATCTGAAATGATATACCACTATCAAACAAATCTATGAGTGATCATTGTACCACCATTAGGTACTTTGCAAAATGCCCCCGCCATGTTATGGAGGTGGGGCTCAATGGTGGGATGTCACCGTGGTGTGGTGCCTGCAATGGCCGGTGTCGTTGCAGACGTGTACCAGGTGCGACAATGAGGGTGGCCTCACGGGAAGTTGTCCTCATTGTTGTTGTGACACATGTGGTGCCAGTGGAGAGGTGTTGTGGTGGTAGTAGGCTCTCTGATCCACTTATTGTGGTTTGCCACTAACATCCAGACTTGGTTGTCTTTACGGCTAGTTTGGAGCTCATCGGCAGTTGAGCCTCCTTCCAAGAGGATCATCGTGGTGGAGGGTTACCGGGCTCTAAGAGAAAGTCTTGGCATACGAAGCTCATTACTAGCGATGAAAGAGACCATGGATGTCTTTCACCTTTTTGGAGACGTTATCGAAGAGTTCACCCTGAAACTAGATCATGATTGGCAGGTGGTGTGGCATCACCCCCCCCCCCCGCGAGTTTTGGTGGTGGTGCCAGGCGCTCTGGGAGAAAACTTTCTTCGATGGGGTGGTGACGTTCATGTTGACACTCACGAGCGTCATTTACTCTTCAGAGGTGTTGTTGAAGAGATTCTTCACACCTGGTATGACTCTTTGGACCTAAGGTCGTTGGTTTGCATTTGGTGTGAAGAACTCTAATTTTGGTTAGGAGTTGCTCACATCCGAGTCAGGTTCTATTTTTGCAGGGCTATCCCCTATTAATCATAATATTGTGAATTTTTTGGTATAAACCGGGCCAACTTTGTCCTTAATGGAATTTCAGGAGCACCATCTTGATGAGGTCATCCAAAAATATTCTTTTGCTATTTTTATTAGGGTCTCAGCGTGTAAAATGATGATCACATATGACTAGGTGGAATACCACTTGTGGTTAATAAAAAGAGAACCTAAATATAAATAAGTTACCTTAAAGAGACTAAATGTCATAGTAATAAAGATACTCTAATCCCCCAATTAGGAGACAAAGCTGCCACTCTAACCAAATTCAGGACATTTCTGTAAATTCACACCACCCCTTGGGCCTATATAATGCTTCCTCCTTTACACTCCAAAACTTTACCCGCAATGTCCCTAATCCCCAATTAGGAGTGCAAAATATAACAAACCCCAAAAGCTTATTTACAGTCCAGTCCATCAACCACCGCCGGTCAGCTTCTCCGGCCACCGTGCATCGCGCAAACTTGGCCTGACAGAATCCCGTGTTCTTCTCCGGCGGTGGCTGGAGAGATGGGGTTCTCTCTGTACCCCATGAAGACGTCGACGCGCATGCTGTGGAGCACCAGCTTCTACCGCCACAAGTTCCCGGCCGCCGCCGCCTCCTCCTTCTAATCAAGCAAGCTCCGGCCCGCCGGTCGATCGCCTCCGTGTTTCAAAAGGAGGCGGGGGAGCGCGTGGTGCGCACACGTATATGTAATAATTTTAGTGCCGCAAGATAGGGTCTTCTTCTTTGGTTCTTGATAGAGTTTTCTATGGAATCCGGCCGCCTCATTTTCGGTTCGGCCGCGCCGTGCCGCGCTGCCGGCGGCGGAGGAGGTCAGATGATGCTCTTTGGCGGCAGTGGGAGCTTCCTTGGAGGTATGGATCGGTATCTTTGGCGTTCGTTCTTGGAATTCTCTATTTGATTGCACTTACACGCTTGAGTATTTGCAGGCTCGCCGGTGGTGGCCGGCGTGGAGGACGGGCGGCGTAAGAGGCCGTTCTTGACAACGGTGGACGAGGAGCTCCAGATGGACGAGGAGATGTACGGGTACTACGGCCTCGACGAGCACGCGCCCGAGAGGAAGCGCCGGCTGACGGCGGAGCAGGTGCGCGCGCTGGAGCGGAGCTTCGAGGAGGAGAAGCGGAAGCTGGAGCCGGAGCGGAAGAGCGAACTGGCGCGGCGGCTGGGAATCGCGCCGCGGCAGGTGGCCGTGTGGTTCCAGAACCGCCGCGCGCGCTGGAAGGCGAAGCAGCTCGAGCAGGACTTCGATGCTCTCAGGGCCGCCCACGACGAGCTGCTCGCCGGACGCGACGCGCTCCTCGCCGACAACCACCGACTACGATCGCAGGTGATCATCAATCCGGCCACCGCCAGCTCATTGCTTAATTAAGTTCAATCCTGGTCAAATTAATTTCATATTTTAGTCAATCAAAATATTTCCTCTGCGAATATTTGTTTGAATGGTGAAGATTCGATTGTCTTTGGGAGAATTATTCTCTGTAAATAGAATGCGGATTCATGAGTAGGGTCACAAAACAGTATAGTAGGATAAGAATCTAGTACACCTAGTAAAGTGCCCAATCGACTGACTAATCTCCAATGCTTAGCAAATCCTCTAAATCACTGTCACGGTTATCCCAAATCACACGAATTCAGACAAGGCCTTGTCACCTTGATAATGACCGCGCATGCGCGCTTGCAGGTGACATCACTGACCGAGAAACTGCAAGCCAAGGAGTCGTCGGAGCTAGAGGAGCGAACCGCCGTGTCAGGCACGGCAGATGCCGGTGTCCCAGCCGTTGAACTGAAAGAAGGCTACGCCGCCTGCGATGGCGCGGCGGGGCTGCTGCTGGCCGGTTTCGCCGGGGGAGCCAACGACAGCCCGGAGTCCAACTCTTACCTGGCCGACGCGCGCTCACCTCCGTCGTCCTCAGACGACGACTGCGCCGGAGCGGTCAGCGGCGAGCTGAACAGCTGCGCCCTCTTCCTCCCGGAGTACGCCATGCTCGACGTCGCGGCCGCGGAGCGCGGGAGCGTCCAACAAGGGGAGGAGGAAGAGGAGGAGGCGCAGCGCAAGTACTGGGCGTGGTTCTGGAGCTGATCGATGAGAGAGCATCAGGAAAATTAGCAATACTCCTTGTGGACGTGCGCCATGTTTAATCCAATCCAGAAGTGTTACATATTTGCTCGGTGTGTTAATTATTTGCCCTACTAGCAGTGAGTAGTGAATTAGTGATGGTAATGATATGAATATATATACTCGGTATAGTTCAGCGGATGTTTAGGCTGAAACTGCATGGCCTTGCTTTGCCAGGGACATCAGCAACGTCATCAAGATACGAGTGTTCGATCTTTCGATGAAAATTATAACAGTAAGTACTAGTTTTGGTGGAGACCATTTTGGCGTTTTAATTACCACGCACAATATTAACAATCCGGTTTAGCAACCCCTAGAACAATTCTAAAGGGATTACAGATGATGCTAGAAGTATGACATGAAGCAATCAAAATTCGAATAAAAATATGATTAAAGCAATCTAAAATTGCAAGTAGACTAGTAGATAAATTATGTAAGAGCATCTACCGTCACGCATAACAAATCCGTCCCCTCAAACATCCACGGACAGTGACCGGTCACATCTTAATTTTTTGTTTCCACACACGCCTGGATACCTCAATTAGCAAACCTCAAATCCATATTACACATGCCCCGTCAACTTTCGATACAGCCGGACGTCTGGCTACTACATCAATACATGCCACCGGATTACCAATATTTGGCATGTTCTACATACATACTAAAATATCCACAAAGATCATCCACGGTTGATATTGCTGCTCATGACGTCTTTGTTGCGGAAGTAGCACTGGAAGATGCAATATGGATCAAGCCGGATCCACTCCTTGCCGGAGCTGTCCGCCCCGTCAATGTCCCCATTCTCCTCTCTTGGGGGCAGTCCATCCATGGCACGGACCGCCCACGCTTGCTTTCGGGTGTGGGTGCGCGTGTTCCTTCTCTGCCGCTTTTGGAGGATTCCGGCACGAATTGCTTCCTCTTCTGCAGCAGCGCGTGCCGCTGCCTCCGCCTCCATCACATCGTCAGCGAGGCAGGCCTTGTGCTCCCGTGCCCTCTGCTTGTTACAATGGATACCCGGTCCCTGTAACACTCGTACTCCTTTGGACCGAAGAAGGGGCGACAGACAAACCTAGAGCCTCTAGCCCCGGCGGATCTGAGCGCCAGTTGCGCCGACGCAATGGATTCGTGCCGGACAGATTCCGACATCGATCAGGCGCACCCTTATTTGGAGCGGTGGAGGGCCATGCGGACGGACATAGCCTCCTCCGGCCCATGTGGGACGACACCCAGTCGGTAGATCAGAAGTGGTCGGAGTCAGATCTGTTGCCCACCATGCCTAAGAGGGCTAGAGATCGCCAGAAGTGAGCTTGGGGCCGGACCAGAGTGGACTAGGTATTGTTTGGTCGGGGAGTGGACACGGATGAATATAAATGGGGTCGGGTGGACCAATGTGGGAAGGATCCGACGTGGCGGACGTGCTCGGATTTACCCATGCCTCCCCATATCCGTCCCAGATTTGTGATGGATATGAGGGATGTCGATTAGCCTAGGCGTTTGTGAATGGTGAGGCGGCCGCTTGGGTCAATTTTTACCGATTAGTGACCGGTCGTCCGCCTAGAAGTATAGTGGGTTTGCGGAGCCCGACTGTAGATGCTCTTAGCGGCAGATTCCATTCTGTGCATGTCTATTTCATAGCCCTTTCTTTAAAATATATCTGATTTATATTAGATTAACAGAACTATGAATATACCTCCACACACCCCCCCCCCCTTTCCTTTGGGCAATGGAGAGTGCATTCTCCACTTTCTTATCTTGAAAATGCGTAATGTTGTGATGTTATGTGTCTGTTTCTCTAGAAAGGTGGGTTGACCCTTAGGGCAAACAATAGTGCCAGGTTCCATTGTATAATGGTCGTTTGCCAGTGACCTTTTTCGCATCCAATCTCTATGTCAATGAGTCAATTAAAAAACCGCTCCAAATGAATCAGATATATGAAAACCACCCATAAACATGGAAAGCACCCTAAACAAAGGGAAGACTATGACTACGACTACATGCCTCCAAATTCTTTACAAAGCCATAAATAGCCATGTCGTCGTTACACCGCTGTAGCTCATGCCAATAATGGACAATAGCGATGAATCCAACCACTGAAGTACATGTAAAGGCCTATAGAGAAACAAATATCATTGAATTTCCACAATAGTAGACTACCGCGTATGACAGAGATTGGCAATCACGCCAAGCATATCGGTGTGGGTGGGGCTCACCACGATCTAGACAGACAATCGCGCTAGTATCTCCAGACCAAGCCGACGACTTTACTTGCAAAGGCTTGAAAAAGGAGGTTGTTGAAGGAGACGATGTTGTCGTTGACGATGCACATGGAATATGTCGATGGATGACAGAAATAACCAACCCATTATCCATGAAGAACAATGAGGACAAAAACTTCTGGCTCTCCTCAGCAACACCACACCAAGCGTCATCGAGACATGATTGGATCCTAAAGACTTTACTCGAGATGACACCGCCATCACCTTGGAGCACCGCCACCTTGACTCAAAAATTTACCACATAAAGGACGAAAGAAGATGATCCCTTCCCCTCCACCTCTGGGTGCCAGAGCGTTGACCGGAGGATGAGGGGAGAGGAGATTGAATTTTTTGGTGGTAGGGTATCTCTTTAGGATTTGACTTTAGTTCTTTGTAAACCAGTTAGTTAGGCAAACAACAACTCCGTGGTCTGCATGGCGCTAGGAAGCGGCCCAGGATGGCATCTTTGAGGCCTTCATGTCAACTCCTTTTTCCCAAATACACAAAAGACTTGTGTATCATTTTATTGATAGATAGAGTGAAGTACAATGATGTTAGAAGACCTCATACAAGCACGTACACATATGTGTCACAAATATGAAAGTCAAGGTGCGGACACGGGTGTAAGGAATGCCTCCTGACACTAGAAGGCTACGTCTCGGGCAGCAGGTTGCGTAGTCATATAGCACCAACATGAGCATAGTTGCGCGCCTTGTCCTGGATCATGGAGAACATGCGAGGTACGGAAGTTCATGTTGGAGATTCCTATGTGTTTATGAATAAAGACAGTCCTTGGGCATTATCAATGATGTGTATCAGCAAGTGCGTGACTTGTTTACGGGACTATGCATTGTATGATGACTGCCCTAAAAGGTCCCTAGTCGAAAGTGTTGTGTAGACTCGCAGCCAACTAGACTAGCATATGACACGGTGGATGGCTCGGTCTCACTAGCCATGGAGCATTGAATGCTAGCCGGATATTATGGACTCGGAAGGATCTGGTCGGATTCAACATAGTCGGATCCGAGTCGAGATAAGTTCTGAGTTGAACATATCCGACTATGAGATGCAGCGATAGGTCATCTATGAGTCTCTAGTATAGCATATGTTCTATGTCCTAAGACCTGAGCTGGCGCATGTACTCGGGATGGTGACATGCCTGCTTTGGGTCGACCAAATGCTACATAGTGACTGGGTAGTTACAAATGTAGGTTTCGGGTTTGCCCAGACCCATGCTGCGAGACATGGTCGAGCAAGATGGGATTTGCCCCTCTGACCAGGAGAGATATACTTTGGGCCCCTTGTGTGGCCCGACCAAGATAAGCATGGCTATGCGAGAAGGATTATGAGATAATCTGGTTTGTGGTTGGCATCACTGGAATGAGAAAGATGTCGGGCTAGCACAAGGATGACAAACTCACCTTGAGCCTGACAACATGGCAAAGGAAACAAAAGTGTGACATGTTGTACAGGTACGCCAACCAGCTTCATTGTCTATAGGAGGTGATCCGGTCTGCGACCAAGCCGACTAGAACCTAAGGGGTCGCGCACTTAAGAGGAGGAACCTGTGAGGCTGAATCTGACTCCACGAGTCAGATGTGATCATACTCGGACTCGAATCCAGGCCGAACGGAATTTGGGCTTTAGGATCCATGCGAGGACCAAGTGTTGAGCCCGCAGCGGATGCTTATATATAGGGGAGGAGTGGCACACTCATTCAGTTGATCGCTTCGCGGTGCCATCACTAGGGCTTTGCATGTGTGGCAAGTAGCCACCTCCACTCGCCGCCGACTGTGTGACCGGATATAGCATTCCACCGCACGGTGTTTCTCCTGCATGCGCGAATACCAGCAGAGGCCTTGCACTTGCGCCACTCCGTCGAACCTATACATGGGATCCAACAATCGATTGTTCGAGGGAGATCAGACAAGAAGGAGACGAACCCCATGGACGCGCTGCCCAACTCTACTTTCGCTGCATGACACTGCGCATCTAGTGGTAAGGATCTGTGATCCATCTCTCATAGCATGTTCCTGGATATTCGCAGGTAGGAAATTTTTAATTTGCAGTTGACGCACCCTACTGTAGAACCCAATAGTTCGCTCATCATTAAAGACACATGTGCCTTGGTGTTTCCTGATTCGCCGGGAGGTGAGCATGGCAAGTGTGTTGAGGCCAAGGCTGGTTGTGCAAGGAGCGTCAACCATCGTGGTCATGAGCCAGTCATGGAAGGGGACATCAGGAGAGGGGATGGCCCCATCAAGTGACACCAGGCGAGCACCTCATTCCATAGCTACCTAGAGAAGGGATAACTAGCATGCAAATGTAGCATGGATTCAAGCTCCTGAGGCCATAGTGGATATGTAGGGGGATGCGGTAGGCCTCGCCGAGCCACGCGGTTTGCATTCCAACACCGCCCACGCAGGCAAGCCAGATGAACATCTTCACATAGAGAAGCGCATCTAAAGAACCTCAGAACATCGCGACATAGCGCAAGTTGGCCGAACATCGCAAGATAGCACGAGTTGGCCGAGTACTGACCATTGGAGGTCCACCTCCAAATTAGGCGATCAAACTTGTTGGAGAGGGTAAGGGGTCGAAGCTCGAACCATAGACACACATATTGGAGGAGCACCGCAAGGCCAAGGTCTGAGCTCCAACACTGACATGGGCCCTCGCTTTGCCTCACCACGACCGTAACAGCCATGC